CCCCCACCCCAAGCTAAAAAATATATTTGTGGCTGTGTCCACAGTGCCCCCATAAGAGAACAGCATGTGTGTGTCTACAACGAACAGATTCCTTAGCCCCGGATCTGAAAACCACACTGGATTTCCTTGAAGCTGCCACCACTAAACCTCCAGTTAGATTCTAGCTCGTTCCACAGAGGGAGGCTCCATCTACAGCTCAGGAGCATAACAAAACCCCACTTGCTTTTAGCAGCTCTGATGAAAGACGTGGAGGTTAGAATCATAGAGAAGTAGGGCTAGACGGGACCTCCTTCTGTATAACTCAGCCAAGCTGGACAGCCCTGGGCTAGAGGGGATCTTTGTGCCCACGTGTTTGGGTCTCAGAAGTTCTGCAGCTGATGTAGCCAGCTTAATCGAACACACAACACATAAGATCTATCACATAAGAACATAAACCAGGGTGCCACAGCACCTTGGAGTGCCTTGAGATCCTTTCAAGGGTGCCAAACATCAGCACCATTAGGCGTGCAAACATGGTTCACCTGCTAAACCCGGAGATTTCCAAAAGGAATACATAGCATTAAAAGCCTTCTGCCCTGTTGAGATTTTTCCTGAGCCCTTTGTGACAAGAGAACTGCTGTAGTATGTCTCTGTAGTAAAAAACAAAAAAAACCAACTGTAAATGAAGACCTGGCCTTTTCCAAGAGAGGCCTCGGGTCTCAAGGTGGAGAATCGCTGCACTTAAATAAACCTTCTTGGATTTGGTGTTAGCCTTTGCCTGCTGAAATCAGATCTGTGTAAGCCACAGAGGCTGGCACCTCGGAGATCTCTGGAGTCCAGCGCCCTTGGGGTTGAGTTCTACCAGTCTAAGGGATTGGGGGGAAACAGTTTCCACATATGAAAGGGGAGAGGATGCCTTTTAAAAGAGGACTTTCTACATAGCCTCTAGCTCCCAGCATTCCCCATCACCTGTTTCCCTGGCCTTCTACCCAGCAGTGTCTGCTACTGCAGCAAAGCTGGCTCGTGACCTGGTCTCCACAGGCATCCACTCCCCCTGTGCCCCTGTCTCCAAGTCTGTAACCTTCTACCACACAACGTCGTCTTCCTCTACCCTGAAGCTCACTCCTTCACCTGGGAGAGGGTATTTGGGGCCTTGAAACCCCAGCTCCCCCATCTCAGCTGCCCCTTTCTCTTGCTCCGCAGCACACAGATGAAGAAAGTCATGCTTACAGTCTTCAAACACAACCATGGCGCCTACCAGTTCTTCAGAGAGGCGTTACAGTAAGGAGTCTGCGGGGTGGAAGGGGGGCTTGGCTCATTAGGTTGTCCTCACCTTAACCCCTTGTTCACACGCCTGTCTTTCAGTGCAGTGGCAACATCCCACCAAGGGGGAGAGTCCCGGGGGCCAGTAGTCTAGGCTGACTGGGAATTGGGTGGTTGTAAAGGAGCCCGGGTGAGCCGGCACCTTCGTCTCCCCTGCTTACTGGCAGGATAGAGAGGTGGGTTTTTGAGTCTTTCCACCTCCCCATCCCCTACGTGCCAGGGCCTGGACTGGTTCCTTCCCCTGGGTCTGGTATGAGCTCACAGCACCCCCTCCCCCAAGGTGACAAATTGCTCCGTTTCTCACACAGCGAGGGGGCTGTGTGACTGAGCGCCCCCCCCCCCCCCCTGATTCTGAGCCCCCCCCCCCCCCCATGAGATCTATCTCAATATAAAGAAGCTTTGATCTTTCAAGCAGCTCTGGCTCTGTGGGGGATCTTCGCTGAAAGCCAAGGGGGGTGGTCTGCCACCCTAGCTAGGACACCGCATTTCCCTAGCAGCAGGCACCCCTCAAACGAGAAGGTCCAGAGATGGGCAACAAGGACGACGAGCAGCACGGAGGGGCTTCCACATGAGGAGAGACTAAAGAGGCCAGGCCTGTTCTGTTTAGAAAAGGAATGCTTGAGGGGGGATGTGAGACAGTTTACAAAATACTAAATGGCGAAGAAGTTGGTAGGGATTTAGTACTGGCTGTCCCTCACCAGACAAGAATTTGTCTGTCTGTACTTGATCTCTCACAAGACAAGGGTTTACTATTGACCGTCTCCCTCCATACAAGGATCAGGGGTCACAACACGAAACTAGTAGGTCGTCAGTTTAAAACTGACAAAAGGAAGTTCTTTGTCTCCCAGTGTAATTAGTGTGAGACTCGTTGCCACCAGATGTGGTGGAAGTGGAGAGTTTAGCCAGATTCAAGAAGGAATCGGGCGCGTTCTTGGAGGAAGGGGGTATTTGTAGCTATTATAGAATCATAGAAAACGAGGGCTGGAAGGGACCTCAGGAGGTCACATCTAGTCCAGGACCAGCCCCAACTAGATCATCCCAGCCAGGGCTTTGTGTACCTGGGTCTTCAAAGCCCTAAAGGATGGAGATTCCACCACCTCTCTGGGTAACCCGTTCCTGTGTTTTACTACTCTCCCGGTGAGACAGTTTTTCCTAATATCCAGCCTCAACTCCCCTTGCTGCGACTTGAGCCCATTGCTCCTTGTTCTGTCATCTGCCCCCACTGAGAACAGTCCAGCTCCAGCCTCTTTGGAGCCACCCTGCCGGGAGTCGAAGGCTGCTGTTCAATCCCCACATAACCTTCATTTCTCCAAACAGTTCCCTCAGCCTCTCCTCACAAGTCATGTGCCCCAAACCATTTCCATTGCCCTCCACTAGACTCTCTCCAATTTGTCCACATCCTTTCTGTAGTGGGGGCTCAAAACTGGACACAGGACTGCAGATGTGGCCTCATCAGTGCTGAGTAGAGGGGAAGAATCCCTGCCCTTGCCCTGCTGGCAACACTTTTACTGATGCAGCCCAGGATGCCATTAGCCTTCTTGGCAACAAGGGCACACTGCTGGCTCCTATTCAGTTCCTTGCCCACTGTCATCCCCCGGGTCCTTTTCTGCAGAGCTGCTGCTTAGCCAGATGGCCCCCAGCCTGTCCCGGCACATGGGATTGTTCTGTTCCAAGTGCAGGACTTTGCACTTGTCCTTATTGAACCTCATGAGATTTCTTTTGGCCCAGTACTCTTGGTCAAGGTCTCTCTGAATCCTAGCCCTACCCTCCAGCGGATCTACTCCGCCCCCCAGCTTGGTGTCATGTGCAAGCTTGCTGAGGGTGCACTCTGTGCTATCTTTCAGGTCGTTGATGACAACATTGAACAAAACGTTACGTGCATGAGGGGCACGGCCTCCGAATCAGAGCTTCCTAGACCTTATAAACTGGAGGCTGCAAGTGAGAGGAACAGTGGAGAACACCCCTGGTCAGACCCAGGGCACTGTCCCTTTCAGCATCCGCTCTCTGCCCTGGTGAAACACAGGAAACTGGGCAAGACGGACCTACAGTGTGACCCAGTCCATGGCAGCTCTTACGTTCTTACAAACCACACGTGGCCTCCAAACTGCAGCCAGTTCTGGGGCACTGGCAACACTTCTGGAGGCCCCAAGCCCATCAGATCCTGGGGTTGAGGAGGCAGGGATTTACCGCAGCTAGGGGTAATGTGGGACGTGTGTGATCCTCCAAATCCTGATTGATTTTGAGAGGTGTGGGAGGCAATCAGGACTGGGAGAGGGTCTGGATAACCCATGCTCAGTGTCCCCCCTTCAGGCTGCTGGGGCCAGGCAGTGATTTTCACCCCCAACCCTGAGGTTTCTCTGCCCGGCAGGTTCGACATCGATGACACCTCTCCCAGCATGTCTGGCTGCTGCGGGGACGACTGCTCCTACGAGATCCTCAGCCGCAGAACCAAATTTGGGGAAAGCCAGCACCCCCACGCCGGTGGCCACTGTGGGGGCTGCTGCCACTGAGCCCTGGCCCTTTGCCCTCCCCTTCCTTCCCACCCCCCTCCAAAGCCGGGCCCAGCCGCCGCCTGCCCTCCCCTCTGGATTCTTCCCAGCTCAGCACCAGGACTTCGGGAGAGCCACCGGGCCCAGGCAGACTGGATCAGAGGGTAATGTAGCCCTGGTAATTCCTGGCAGCTCTTGCCCCGCTTCTCCCACCTGGCGCACGCTCCCCGGAGACCAGCAGAGATGCAAGCCCCGGCAATGCTAAGAAAGCCTCACGGCTTGTCCGTCGCTGGCCTCCGAGTCCAGGGCCCTGCCTTTGTCGGGGAAGAAGCACCCGGCAGCCTCCTGGCCCTGGAGATGCAACTTGTTGTCTCATTTGGCCCCTTTTAAAGGGGGGAGGGGCATTTTCCAGCAAGCACGGCTGACCTCGTGTCCTGTGGGAAGGCAGCCCCTTTGCAACGTCCTTTCCTGTTGGCAGCCAGGCCCGGACTGCGGTAGGGAAGGCCGGGCTGGGGTTGGGGCTGCTCATCGTCTTCCAGCAGAGGCTGGTGCCTTCATCCCTCTAACCCTGGCAGACGCAGATGCGGGCGTGAAGCAAGGGGTCTTGCATGTGGCTGGCAGGTCAGGTCCAGCCCCTAGATGTGGGGGCCTTTCTCCCCGAGAGGGAACCGACCCCAGGACTCCTTTTTATGCAGCTGCTTGCAAAAAATATTCCCCTCCCAGCCCCAAATACCCCTCTCCCCCATGTCCCCTGGCTGAGCTGAGCTGGAGGTTTCCTTCATTTCTGATCATCCGGTTGCCCCACTGGAGTCACTGGGATGTGGATTCCCAGGGCTGCCTGTAGGCAGCTGGCATGTCCATCCATCCATGCCCCCAGCCAAGTGGTACCAAAGAAGTCCTTAGAGATGGGACCTATCTTCATGGGGCAGCCCAGGGGGTGTCGCACCACACCTGGCTGCTGCGTCCCTACAGGATGGACCTCTTGGCCCCTTGTCGCTCCTCCCTCCCGTGCCCTGGGGACCAGGCCCTGATGGGCCAATGAGGTGCCCAGCTCAGCACCTCCAGCCAAGCCTGGTGCTCCCTTCCCCATGGGAATCACGCTCCCAAGTCCCCTGGGCCTTGCTGAAATCTCTCCTGTCCCTCCCCAGGCCCTCTGTACCTGCCCATGGGCCTGTTCCTCCCCCTTCACCTGGCTCCCATAGGGGTGGATCTATCACCGCTTCCCCTCGCCATCTTTCTCGGGTCGGGGGGCCAAGGCAGATTTCAGAAGCCCCCATTGAATCTCCAGCCACGGCTGCCAGCTCCGACATGGGACGGACCTGTCTTCTGGCCTCCTGCCCCTCTCCGAGCAAGGGGTTGACTTCCACCCCCCAGCGTCTTCCTGTCCTCTTCTCATGCCCCTGTCAAGCTCTTGGGCTGGCAGCCTGATGGAGGCTGCAGCGCCCCGAAGCCTCTCCCTGGCTTCCCCACTCCCTCCCAAGATGACTCGTCTTGATGACGGAGCTGAATCTCCGTTGACACCCCCCTCCCGGTGTGACTTCGAGGAGCGCTGCGGGGGGCACGGAGCCAGGGGAGCCGTTTCCAGGCTGGGGAATCGCCCGGCGCGACAGACCCCAGGTCTCGGCATCCCCAGAGCTTCCAAGGCCTGGGTCCCAAGCGGGTGAGGTCCCTCCTGCGTGACGGGAGAGCTGCGTCGTGCAGCCGGACACGGCCCCCGGGTGTCTCCGTCCAGGCCCCGCAAGCTGGCGGCTTCGCCCCGAGCACGCTGCATCCAAGCGAGCGAGATCCGGTAGCCAGCGGGCGTCAGCCGGGGCCTCGATAGCGCCGCCCCGGCCGTGGGGGGACTTCTCCACCTGGTGACAGCTGGGGCCGGTCTCCATCTGCCCCCTCCCAAGCACGGGCTCGGCCTCCGGTGACATCATCAGCCCAAGGGGATGGGGTGCTTGGGGACGGCCCCCCCACCAATCAAAGGGCTCCAAGCCCCGCCCCGCCTCCCGCATCCACCGAGCCGAGGAGACCTGGTCAGGATCCGGCCTGGGGAGGGGGCGGAGACCCGCGCAGAGTCCTCCGTGCCCCCGGTTAGCAGCGACCCGGGGGTCCGCCCCTCGGGGGTCCGCCAGCTCTGCAGGCCGGGTCCGGCCCTGGGGCCCTACACCCCCCCCCCCCCCCCCGGGGGCAATTCCTGGTTTTTTTGTGGTTTTTTTTTGGTACCTTCTCGGTTTCTTTGTACGGTCGAAATAAACCGACACTTTGTTCAACGTCTGGAGCCGGAGAGTTATTTGGGGGGGCCGCGGGGGGGCGGACCTCGGGGGCTTCTCTCCCCAGCGGGGAGCCCGCCCTGAACCTGGTCAGGGGCGGGGCTCCTCTCCCCGGCAGTGGCGCCACGCCCACTCCG